ATCATTTGAATGTAGTCCGATTGATAATATTGTAAATTATCATTCCATTCGTTAAACTATATTAATTTTAACAGCCCGATTGTCATGAAGAATCCATATTAGCTCCATCAAATCCATATTCTGCAACAAAAGCGGCTGCCGAATGTCTTGTACAAGCTTATCACAAGTCATTTGGCCTACCGATAATTATCACAAGAAGCAATAATATTTACGGTCCATATCAATATCCTGAAAAAATTTGTTCAAAATTCATTTGTAGTTTAATCCGTGGTGGAAAATGGTATAATATATATATATATATTTTTTTTTTTATTAAATTATTAAATTCTTAAATTTTAATTAATTAATTAATGATTGCGAATCTTATATGTTAGCTATATTCATGGAGATGGATCTAATTCTCGTAAATATCTATACGCCGGTGATGTTGCTGATGCGTTAGATATAATTTTACATAAGGGACAAGTTGGAGAAATCTATAATATTGGCTCCAATTTTGAAATTTCAAATCTTGAACTTGCTCGGACATTAATTCGAAAATTCGGTTATAAAGAAGAAGAACATATTGAATTTGTACAAGATCGTGCATTCAATGACCGACGTTACGCTGTAGATTACCGCAAGTTGAGAGAGTTAGGATGGAAACCTCGTATGGGATGGGAAGAAGGCTTAAAAAAGACGAGTATGTATTTTATTATTAGTTATGTTTACTTTTAATATTCATTTTTATTAATGTTTTATTCTTCTGTTCTATGTGATTCATTTAAAAAAGTTGAGTGGTATAAAGAACACAGTGATATGTGGTGGGGTGAGATTTCTTGTGCGTTGGTACCACACCCTTTGAAGGCATTGCCAGCAGTAGATTACTCATTATAATGAAACCAATTAGTTCATTCACAACCTGCATATTCATATAAATTTATTCTAATATTAGCATTTAATTTAATGTCAATTTGGTACATGGATTTATAGAGTTATAGACTACAATTGATGGACAATGGGATAGAATATTTGTAATTTTCATAATTTAATTTCTCAATTTTTGAACAAAAACATTTCAATCTCATTTATAATCTCGGAAATTATATATTTTTTAAAAAGCCGATTTTTAGGCCTTTTCATTTCGAAGCTAGCAACTTTGTAAATATCTGAAATTATATTGTTCTTGCTGGACCATACTTTAATTTAATGTGGCGGCTGAAGCTGAGATTGGGGTTCTCTATTTAAATCTATAATATCTACTAAAATTTACTTGTACTCTTTTATTAATAAAACTAACCCTAAACTCTAATCTAGTTTTAAAGAAAAAATTAACAAAAAAAGTTTTTAAAATTTAATATCAAAATCTTAGCATTAGTCAATTTTAGCTAATATAAATCAAATTTTTTTTTATAAAATATTTAACAATAGAGGTTTGCTATTTATTATCACTGGTAATTATCACCAGTATGCTATATCTCAACAGAACTATGAAACAAGAATCAGGTGTATTTAGTAAAAATGTTCGGAACCCCAAAAAACCTTATGTAATATAAAATTTAAACTATTATATTCAACCTTTCTTCTGGTTTTAAACACTACTCTAACTCTAAAACTATATGTGGCGATAAAAACCACTGTGATATGAAGTAATTTTCTTATCAATCATAATTAATATTATTAAAAACTTTTGAATGTTAATAGCTTTAATATTTTATGTAACTATTAAAACTATATAACAAAATAATCAAATATATACGGTAATTATCTTTTTTAGTTTATAATTTTTTAAGTTTATAACCAGTAGTGATATCACCACCTTTAATTGTTATCAAAATTTAGAGTTAGAGTGCAGTTTTTAAAAAAAAATAAAGGTTAGATATAAAGGTTCAAATTTTAGTTAGGGTTTTTGAGAGTTTCGAATATTTTTGCCTAGTACTCCTAACGTGAATTAGCTAGTAGGCTTTTGAGATACGGTACTCTGGGTAATATCATCCCGGGAAAAGTTAGCAACAGTTTTAAAAAAAATTTATTTATTTTTAATAATTCTAATAATTTAAATTTATTTTTATTTTATTTATAAAAATTTGTAAAATTTATATTTTTTAAACTCAAAACAGAATTGTTTTTTACTTTGGCAATTTTGTTTTTTTTTATTTATATAATAGTAAAATTCATATATTAGCTATATATACTTTCTTATATAATATTTGATAAAAAAATTGGCTGCTGCTATACATACCCCAATTTTGCCCACCCTGTAAATTAAAATTTGTTAAATTTTTAAAACTTTAAGCAAAGATATCTTGACAACCATCAAGTCAATTTCGATGATTTTTTTTATTTGAATTCTACAAATTCGTGAAATTTAAATAAAAAAGATTAATTAAAATTAACTTGGTGGTTGTCAAAATATCTTCACTCAAAGTTTTAAAAATTCTAAACATCTATTAAAATAAAAATTATATCAAGTTTTTTCAAATTTTGAGCAAAAATATCTTGACAACTATCAAGTTAATTTTGGTAAATTTTTTTATTTAAATTCTATATATTTTTAAAATTTAAATAAAAAAAAAGTTTATTAAAATTGACTTGGTGATTGTTAAGATATCTTTATTTAAAATTTAAAAAAAATCTAAAATATTTATTAAAATAAAAGTTGTATCAAATTTTTTTAAACTTTGATCAAAGATATCTTAACAATTATTAAGTTAATTTTAATAAACTTTTTTTTTATTTAAATTCTACAAACTTATAGAATTTAAATAAAAAAAGTTTATTGAAATTGACTTGGTAGTTGTCAAGATATTTTTGCTCAAATTTTTAAAAATTTAAAATATCTATTAAAATAAAAGTTGTATAGTTCTAGACAGCAAGAAATATCTATTTTTTTTAAAAGTGTTAAATTTTAAATTTTATACTCAAATTTGATTGGTTATTTTTTGTATAACAAAATTCTGATTGATTGAAAATCTATAAAAATAATTTTTTTATATATTAAATGCCAAATTTTTGATATATAGTAACTTTAGATTTTAATAATTTTTTAAATTTATAATAAAAATTAAAATCTATTCTAATAGAATTGTAGCTTAGACTAAAAGCAATAAATCTGATTTTTTTTAAATTTATTTGTTTGTAAGTTATAAGCATTTTTATATTTATATATAAAAAGTAGATATTTCTTGCTATTTAATATTGTATTAAATTTTTTAAAAACTTTGAATAAAGATATTTCAACAATTACCAAGTCAATTTTAATGAATTTTTTTATTTAAATTCTATGAGTTTGTAAAATTTAAACAAAAAAGTTTATTAAAATTGATTTGATAGTTATCAAGATATCTTTGTTTAAAGTTTGCAAAAAAATTTTTTTTTTTCAGTATTAAGGTAAGGTCTTGCCTCGTATCTTTATTAGATGTATAGTCAACTCTCTTTAAACTAAACCTTTTTAAACTGAATACTTAATAAATTCTCTGAGAACTAAACAAAAAGCTTCAGAATATTTGTAAATTTGATTATAAAGTTCGGATTAGCAATATATAACTCTTTGAGAACTGAATTTTTAAAAATTTTTATATATAAAATTCTTTAAGTATATTTTTTTGCGGAATAAACAGAGTTGACTGTATCAAGTATTTGCTTTATATAACTATATATAATCTTAAAAATACAGACTTAAACAATTTTAACTACGATCTAAATCTACCAGAATATGCTACGTTCCTACTACGTATTGGATTATACTTGGATTTAGTGTTCTGACTATATCTAGTTACCCACCGTATTCATCCTATGTCTCACCGTCAAACTTTGGTAACTCCCAAATTAGTTTATTTGGGTAATCGGTTCTTAATGGTCTTCTAATTTGGTGTGTCTGTTATTCAAAGTATTTCATAGACTGGTATACTCCTTCTAATAGGTGGTCTCTCGTCTATATTTCTCAAGCCAGATACCTGCTGCCGCCACTAGTTCTACATAAGAAGTATTGATATCATAT